AGCCTCTTAAGGTAAGTCTGTTCCACTCAGGGACCTTTCTAGTTGTGAAGATATTTCCCCCTGTTACATTAAGCCTAAGTGTTCTTTCTCTTGACTTGCAACCAAGTACAAGTGTTCCTAGTTCTTTCTTCACCAACGAAAATCACAAAGCTCCTTCTCACCCATCCTCCAACTCACCATGAATTAGCAGGTAGCCTTACAGCATTGCAATGGCTGAAAATTCCATTGCATGCTGCAGGCAATCTGATGATGAGCCCCTTAATCTTAGCTAAACTGTTTCTCCGATGACAGATCTGCTTCTTATCAGTTGACCCATACTCACAATATCTCCAGCTTGATAACACTTGCCAGAGCATTCACTACACTGTGTCTAAGAACCAGGGTTACCAACAGCAGCTCCCACTGCGTCCAGGGCAATCTCCAGTCGTTTTGATCTATATCTGGCCACTGGACCCAGATGGTTCCAGAGGAGAAAGTGAGGCTGGTGACTTTGCACAGCTCTCCCTCACTAAACTCCAATTCACTTGCATGTCATGTCATCACTTCCCTGATGTCATGGTCATCTTTGAGAATGAAGGACAAACAACAACAGCTAGCACCACGATGCAGCACCACAGCAAAACATAATAACAATGATAATAACAACAATAATAATTTATATATCTCCTTAAGATTTGAAGAGTTTCACAAATATCACATTTGGCTTTAGAGGAGATTTATGGTCTAAATATAAAAATAATTAGAAGAAAGCGAAATGATATTTCAATTATGGAGAAAAGGAAAATGTTTACCTATAGAAAGAAAGGAAATTATTGGAAAAAATAATTTATGTAAAAATTGAAGGATTTTATACAATGAAGTAAAAATGAAAAGAAAAGAAACAGATTAGGGAAAAAGTACCTTGCAGTAAATATTTATGTCAAAAACCTTATTCACAAGTCCATGAGCAACAGATGCAAATTTATTAGATATTTATTCCCAATTGAACACAGAATCAGACTTAAAGGCTGGAGGAGATTATTCAGTTTTACTTAAATAACCAAAGGACATAAGCAGAAACTTCCCAAAAGCATAAGCCTAAATTCTAATCCTGGCAAACACTTATTAATCAGTTAGTGTATGAAAGACACTGTTAAGACCCGGGGATATGAAAACAAAATGAAAACCAAAGCCTTCTCTCAAGGATCTTACATTCTACTGGATTGCAATTATTAGTAATCACCTGAAACTTCCTAATAAAATAAAAATGAAAACAATTATAACTACTCCAAAGCTACCAAGGTGGCAAAATTCAATATTAGTAGGACTGCATAGGTACCTGTCCACTATTACATCTTTAGTAGAACTGCTTTAGTACTTCATTACTTTAGAACTTTAGTATGAACTGGTGCTTTTTGGAAAGCAATTTGGGTACATGCAATATAGCTTACAAAACTGATCACAGCTTTTGATCCAGTGATCCCATTTCTAGGACTGTATTCTAAGACTGTTATTAAAATTATAAAAAGACATTGTTAAGCACTGTTAAGTTTGCCAAGCACCCATAGCTGTATTGTTTGTAATTCAAAGGACAGGGAATAATGCATACATGCTTTTCCTGAGCAATAGATGAATAAATGACAGTATATTAGTTTAAAAAAAAAGGAATATTACTGCCTGACTTAAAAAGACAAAAATTAAAAAAGGTGGACAGAACTGGAAGAACACACACATAGTCACTCAGTGAGCCAACTTTTATTAAGCACTTACTATGTGCCTAACACTGAACAAAGTGCTGGGGATACAAAGAAAAGCAACCCTCCCATCAAGGATCTCACTAGATAATGGGACAGACTAATTGAAAACATGTAGGTAATACAAAAAAGGCATTAGCAGCTGGTGAGACCAGGAAAAACTTCCTGCAAAAGCAGGATTTGCAGCAGAGACTTAAAGTAGGGGAAACTTAAGAGGCCAAGGTGAGACAGAAAGAATATTTCAGGAATGATGGGGAAGCCAGGGTGAAAGCACAGAGACAGACAGAGAACGTCCTGTGTGAGCTGGAGCAAAGGGCACTGTGGCTGGATCTCAGAGGCACTGCTCTCATGTTGTTAATTCTGTAGTTTTGAAAAATGAATAATGCTCCAAAGAAATATGCAAAAGTTGCCCTTCAAAGAGCACATTTCATTGACTATTAGAGATAGTGCAATGGCTGCTAGCCAGGGGAAGTTGAGATTTTCAAAGATCATTTGAGCCTATAATTATTAAGCAGGATCAACTATAGAGATAATGCAAAGAGACCAGTTGTTTCGGGGGGAAAAAAAACAAGACAAAAGAAAAATCAAATGCAAAGAAGTGACAAAGTATTGCTTCAAAATAGCCAATTTAATCCTCAGAAAACAAGCAAAGACCTTCAGACAATTGGATAGGATGTTATTAATTCCCCTAAAGTGAGCCATAAGCTTCTTGGAGTTGGAAGAACAGTGAGAAAACTAGTAAACAATAGCTATTTACCGTTACTATGAAGGAAAAAAAGATTATCAATATCAAGATTGTGTTAATGAAGATTAGAAAAAGATCAATTTCACTGAAAAAATTCACTTTCTTATTGAAGGTCATACCAAATCTGTGGTCAGAAGTCCAAGAAAAGCCTCAGACCAAAAACAGATTAGAGATTTTTTTTTTCTTAACTGATCAGGAACTTTTGACAAATATATTGACATGTGGAGAAGCAGAATTGTTCCAGAATTCCTAAAATCTCAGAGATAGAACGCTTTAACACAACCTTGTGCAATGCCATGTATTACAAAAGGACAAGAAATTTGATAAAAATATGGAGAGCAACAGGTTTTGATGGTCTAGGAACTCCACTGAAAATTAAGGCTAGATTTGGAAAAAAGGAGTATACTTCATATCCCACATGATGTGTGGTTTCATGATGAAGTATTAAAGAATGTGTCAAAATCTTGTAAAAACAATGCCAAAGCAAGTAAATAATTGCAGCAAAAGAACATTTTTTTATAATAAAACTTTTTTAAAAGATGTCAAAAGTTAGGATTTATTGTATAAGTAATATAAATAAATAATAAATAATAAATGTTATTATTTTGCATTATATATCAAGTAATTCTCACATCATTATATGTGCTAGACATTGTGCTTGGACTTGTAATAAAATTTAAAAAAATATTCCTTTCCCTTAAGGAGCTTACATTCTATGTTCAATTACTGAAGTATTTCTTAACTTCATACTAATGATGTTGAACCAAAGTTTAAATTTCAGCACTGAATCACAGAATCACAGATCTGTATAAAAAGTCTCTAGATAACCTGTTTCAGGTACCTTCCACTACAGAACAGGATAATCTCTTGAGAAAAAGACAGTTCAGAAGAGCAACAACATTCAATTTAGGTATTTTTTTAAAATAACTCTCTTTATGCAAAATAATAATTCACGACAGTGCATTTGGTAACTTGGCTAACTTGAGTTGTATGAGTTTCAATATAAAATGGGAACTTAAGATCCTTGAGGTTTGTAATTACAATGCATGCTAGCAAGAATATTGTGCTTCAGAATGAAAAATTAATTTGAAGCTAAGAAAATGGTCTTGTTTCTCAGTTCAAAGACCTCTGATTATCTATGTATGTTTTCTTCTCAGAAGAAACATTCTTCTTTAAGCCATTTGATATCTGTTGAGACCAAAACACTATAAAAAGGCATTTACCCTGAACCTTAATGACCTCCTAGATTTAGGAGTGGCAACAGTTTGGAAATGACATTACAACTGAGGATATGCTGAGCAAGAGTCTATTTTTTCCATACACAAGACATCAAATGAATTTGTCCTTTCTTCTCTTCATCTTTACTTTTGTGCCATATATCCTACCACCTAATCTTCTATTTTCTGCATTAAACCCACATCCAATCCCCCTAATCACTTTCCTTTATGTCCATATTTCAAATATATTTTATTTTCTCAATTGCATTTCTGGTCTCCATGTATCCAACTCTTACTTTTCCTATGAATTTTTTCTTTTTTGCCCACCACTCATAAGAATACAGAAACGCTTTCTAAAAAGCAGTTAAATCTCCTTTGATGCTTTGCAGGTGTGTTCAAATAAACCACACCCACATTTTGGTCACTACAAAATCAATTTAACCGATTCACTTAATATTTACAATTTCTAAATCATTCAGTCAATAAACATTACGTAAGCACAGTCCTAATGCCACTGGGGAGAGAAAAACACTGTTCCTGCCTTCAAGAGTCTGTATTTTTTTTTTTTTACTAATAAGCACTTCAAAGCTAAGTTTGGAAAGGCTTGTCTTAGCACCTAGCACTATTCACAAACATCATTCAGAAACTCTCACTAAAAATCCCTTGTGTCTTCTCATGTCTTTTCTTTGAGGTCAAGCTTATTCTTTGTAACTTTGGAATTCACTTTCAACTTTTTTTTTTTCTATTTACATTGTTGTAGTCATCATATATATTGTTTTCTGGTCTCTGCTTATTTCAATGGTGCATCAGTTCATATGTCTTTCCATTCTTCTCTGTATTAATCACATTTGTCATTTCTCATAGGACAGTAATATTCCATTACACTCATTTTTGTAGAGGTGGGAGGGGGTACATAAGTGTGGAACATTGCATAAAATGTTAATTTTTGTGGTATTGATCAGTTTGTTCATTCTTCCCTTCTTCCTTTTTCTTTTTAATTGTGATAATGGATGGCTCTCTGGAAGCAGGCAGGAAGAGAGACACAAGGGAAATTTAGGTTTTAGAGCTGCCATTACGGCACTTGTTCCTCAATTTTCTACAAAAAATGGGATCCACATTTACCTTAGGGACTCATTGGTCATGTCTCCTCTTTGCCCTGGTGGCTTATGCGTCTGCAGGGCACCGCTCTTACTCCTGGCCAGAATGACTAAGAGAGGCTTGAAAGGTAAACTGCTCTTGGTTGTCAGCTTTGTCACCTTCCTCATTGTGGTCGCTATCCCGTCTTCTGACCCACAGAGGATGCTGCAGGAGCCGTAGGCTCACCACTGCCACCATTTTATTGGGCAGAGGTTCCTTGACCAATTTTTCAAGTGATCACTGACAACTGCGATACAACAGAATTTAAGCTCACCATCAACAGGTTTGCCACCACATAAAAACCTTTTTTGCCAGAAATACTATGAACACTGTTATTGTACCTTTTAGAGGGAACAGACTCCAAGAGAGTATGGCAGTTAAACTATAATCTGAAGAATTTAACTGCCATAATTGGAGAGAGACTGAGTACAGAGAGACTAAGTGTGTTACCTGTCAAGGAGAAATAGTCTTAAGAGACATTTCCTGGAACTTGAATCTAACTCATCCTGTGGAGAAAATATCCTAAAAAGAATTCCTGAGAAACTTTGACTGCCACTCGGAGAGTATGAGTGTTGGAATGAGTCAGCAGCTGCAGCTTATAGTTAGAGGTGAGTCTGGTTATGCTCTTTCTCATTGCAATATACTACTGAAATATTTAAATACATCTACATGTTGTTCTTATATTATTACTCTCGTTACTACATCAGTAACAAAATTTGAGCCTTTAAGACTAGAGAGAGAAAGAGGGTAAGGGGATAGAGGGAAAGAGTATATTTAAAGAAGCTTCTGTTGTTTATTTAGAAAGAAGGAGGGAGAACAATTCATACCTAATTGATTAATTAATGAGACTCTGCATTTCTATCAATATATGAGGAAATATCAGAACATACCCCTCACCTGTCTTAAAACATAGTGTGAGAATTAATAAGGTAACAAGTCAAATCTAATGCACTGTGCCACACAGACCATCTGATATCCACATGGGCTACTTATGGGGTTATCATGTATAAACCAGTTACATATTACATGTGATAAAATTCCCAGCTTTGTCTTTATGAGGAAATAAGAAGGGGAGCTACTACTCTAGACTAACCTGGTTAGTAAAGTGGAAGTGGCATAAATTGAAAGAATATTACCTTGTGCTTCTAGAACTGTCTGATGTGGTCAAGGTTCAAGAAGGGCAGAAGGAAGGCCATTAAATTAATCAAGTAGGACATAAAAGAACAGATGTGAAAACACAGTGTTAAAGCTAAAGTCCCAAATGAAACCTAGGCTTGCAAAAAAAAAAAGAAATGCTAAAGATAACAAAAATAGTCATCTTGATTAAACTTTGTTGAAGGCAAGCACAACAAGGAAGTGGCAGACCACAAGCCTGGGGATGAATGACACAAACTGAGAGAAAACTGAACTGTTCGACTGTAATTTTATTTCTGTCTTCTTTGTCAAGGAGAAGACTCTTTAGACAACAAACATGGTTGAGAGGGAATGAGAAGTGAAGGTAGATGAGGGGATAATAAAAGAGCACCTAATAACTATAGATGAGTTAAAGTTTCCTGGGCTGAACAATTATACCCCCTGGCAGTGAAAGTAGTTGTTGATATGACTATACAAATGTTGATAATATATTTTCAGAAATTGTGGAAAATGGGAACTGTGGTTAAACTTGGAGAAGGGCAAAGTCCCAGTTTTTTAAAGGGGGAAAGAAGGTAGGTACTGAAAACTGTAGACTGATGAAGTTGTTGTTGAACATAGGTAATATTTTAGAATAAATGATCAATATTATTTTGCTTTTTATATCACTTCCATTTCTAAATATGCCCCTCCCTGGACAGACAATTCCTATTGTGTGGGACAGAGACCACTACTCAAAATCAAGACAAAGACTCAGATACTTTGAAAGCAAAAAGGAGTTTACTGCTTTCTCATGAGAAAGGGTACCGCCCCTGGTTGCACTAATGGCACCGGCCAGGGAGTACAGCCAGGGAGTACAAGTTGGTTACAGAAAGCAAGGCTTATTTATACCCTAACGTGAGCTCCTCCTCCCTAACCCCCTTCCCCTTATCCCAGTGGCTTGGCTTCAGGGGGCATAATCTATTCACGGAAATCTTCCCTGGCAACAAAAAGGCGGGAAGTTTTGAAAGGGTAAACAGTTTGGGTTGGGGGTAGGGCTATTCTTTCTGCTCCGTGCTTAAAAAAAACTGGGGGGGGGGTTTGGCAAGGTCAGACAGGATTGTGTTTCAACAATACAAGTAAATTCCTTGAGAAGGCCATCTACAACAGGTGCCTCTAATTTCTCTCACTCTCTTCTTAACCTCTTACTATCTGGCTTCTGACCTTATCATTTAACTGAGACAGCTCTCTCCAAATGACCAGTGATCTCCTAATTGCTGCCCTTTGTGAGAACTATTAACAAGAGCTATTAACCCTTTGAGAAGGCTTCACTTCTGAGAGATCATTTCTCACACTATGACACAGAATAAAGAGAGGGAAATAAAAAGTAATGCAACAAAACTAGTCAATAGTTCAAACAAATCTGACAATATTTGCTATGTTCCCCACCTAAGAATCCCCATCTCAGAAAAGAGGCAAGAAAACTCCATTTTCTCCTCTCTTTGTCAGGGTCACTCTTGATCATTATCATGACAAAGTATATAGTTAAAAAAATTTTTTTTACATTGTTGTCATCATTGTATGTGTTGTTTTCTTGGTTCAGATCAGTTCATATATCTTCCCATACTCCTCTATAAGTTTCATTTTTCTTGTTTCTTTTTTAAAATGAAGTCATATTCGATTATACCAGGTGTGGGGAACCTGTGGTCCTTAAGTGTGACCCTTTGACTGAATCCAAATGTCAGAGAACAAATCCATTTTTGTTTGGATTTAGTGTGGTTGCGGTAGTGTGACTGAGTAAGCAGAGGTTACCTGGATTTCAGTTAGGAATTTGGCAAAGGTTCTTATGATATTCTTGTGGACCAGATGAAGGAAATGGGGATGGACAGAATTAGTTGGTTTTATAACTGGCTGAATGATGTTACATAAGGAATGTAGATTAATAGATTAATGCCAGCTTGAAAGGAAGCCTTCAGTAGTATGCTATACCTTGGGCAAGTCACACAACTTCTCTGAGTTCCAATTTATTTTTCTGCTAAGTGAGGAAATGAGACTGAATGACTGCTAAGTCAATTCCTTCAGTAAAGTTATGTGAATCACAATAATTTTCTGTTGGGATAAAAAAAATGTATGGCGATTTGAAAGACAACCTAGTAATTTGTTTTACTTTTTTTCCTGATCAGCAAAACACACTAGTTCCCTAATTCTTTGTACATAAAGCCACCCTAGTTACTGAAATAACTTTAATTTTTCTCACTTTCTTCATTTACTTTGGCCCCTTTGCCAAGGAATCATATCTGATTCTTCCCCCTTCTGTATAGGCTTTCCTGATGCAACCACTAAGCAGAAAAGTTTTAATATGTGCTCATTTTACATGTCTATTGAATATGTGAGCTAGGGGTCTTACTTTATAGGCATTACATAACAATAACTGATATTTATGTAGTACTGTAAAACTTACAAAAAAAACTTTACAAACATTATCTTAAATCCTCACAATGACCATGTGAGGTAGGCACTGCAATTTTTATTATCTACATTTTGTAAATGAAGAAAATGAGGCTGAGAAGAAGGAACTGACTTTCCCATGGTTACAGAGCTAATAACTGAGGGGGGCAGGTCTGACCTCAGGTCTGGTATATCATATTGTCTCTCATGTTTCAATGCATCCATGATCTCCTTGTACTGGTACAGATCACAGCTCATCTTTGTTTTTAATACTGTGTGTGATTCTTATCCATATCTTTCTGCACTTCAATATTTTAAGGATTTATGGTTTAATCAAAGTGGGTTGTTCTTTCACTGACCAATTACAACCCCTCTCTGACTCAGTAGATGATCCTTGTGAATTGATAAGCCTTCAGAATTCTGTAACCTCTGGCCAATCTGGTGGTGAACCTTTCCAAGTAAGCACAGGCCTGACCATGTTACTTCCCTACTCAACAGACTCCAGCGGCTCCTTGTTATATATAGAGAACATATATTATTACATAAGATTGTATATATACACATATACATATACACACATATATATATGTATATACAGGCATCAAATATAAATATAAACTGGCATTTAAAGTCCTTCATGCTCATGGTCAAACTGTATTTCTCTAACTATTCCTCAGACACAGTACTCCATTTTTTCATGTCTGTGCTTTTGCATAAGCTGACTCCCATGTGAGGAATGTACTCCTCTTAACTTCGGATTCTTAGAAATCCTATTCTCTAAGACTCAGCTCAAGTGTGACCTTCTGTACCAGAGAAGGTGCTGTGTTCTATAAGCAAAACAGAATTGAAGTAGCTCAAAAGAAATGTAAGATGTAAAAATTTAGAGAATCCACCCCAAATGTTCATATGGACTATTTGTGTCCAACCTGTGGTAGAGCATTCCGAGCTCACACTGATCTGATCAGCCATAGTCGGACACCCTGTTCCTTGACTTCAATACAGTGATGGCTTTTTGGTCCTCTTTGAGAATGAAGGACAACCATATATCCTGATCCTTGAGCTGCTAGTATCTTCCCCTGACTCCTCATCCCCACCAAATGACTTACATGTATATGTTGCCTCCCAGATAAACTGTGAATTCCCTGAGTGGGGACTTTCACTTTTATCATTGTATTCCTAGTGCCTAATAGAGCCTAACACATAGTAGGTACTTAATAAATACTTGCTGATTGACTGACAATGCTAGGCAGGCTTTAGATGACAGATAGAGTACATTATAGGACCTATACTTGAAGTCTTTCTAACTTATTAGAAAGTCCTTAGACCTTGCACTCTGACTGGCATAGCTTTGGAGAGAATATGAATGCAATTTTGGATGATGATGATGAAGACCACAATGATGATGATTTTAGCCTTTGCTTTTTTCAAATAGTTCAATGTAACATTATGAACATACCTCAAAGCCAGAAGGAAATGACATTTCCTATGTTCCCTGCTTATAAAGACTAGGTTCAGATTTTCTCTGACCATCATTGGAAATGCAGAAGGCACCTGGGAAATAGCATATAGCAGTTTTTTAAAAACACCATAAGTAAACCATGAAGGTTTTGATAAAATCCTTATAAATTGATTATGCTCCAGAATTTTCATATAAGTTTTGTTTAACTCCTTGAGAAAGAACTATAAAATTCCTATGGGTTCATGGGAAATTGAATCCTATGAACCTAAAATGAAAAATTTGGCTGTCATTTAGAAAGAAGAAAATATCTACAGAACACGCAAATTTATATATATATATATATATATATATATATATGTATATATATATATATATACATATATATATATATTTTGAAAATTCAACTGTATTGTTAAAGACAAAAACATCAGTGCAATATACGAGCCACAGAATTCACCTGTAAATTCTATCAGTTAAAAGCTGGAAGCATGGAAGTTACATGGCAATGTGAATACTCTAGTGACTATGGAGTCAGAAGATCTTGGTTACAAATCCAGCTTTGCTACTTAGTGTGTGACGACATTCCATTTC